TTTATTTTTTGCTCTTTGTATCTACATGCAGTTAGTAGGAGTCGTAAAAATACATTTACTCAGTCAAATACTCTTGTTCTTAAATTATGTGACATACTCTCCAGAATTAAGAAAAAAAAATTTGTAAAACTATTCATTAAAATTTTTACTCATTGGAATATTATATTTTGTCATAAAATGATTTGGAAGCGAGTTTGAGAGTATATTGACCATTCATTTTCCTTGCTTTGAAAATCATTGTTACCATGTTTTTGAAATATATGTAATAGAAAAAAAAAAGATTTCCTTTGTATTTTCTTTTTGTGTTGATTTTGGTAAGATTAAAGGCTGTTGCTATTTTGCCTGCCAGCATGTACATGAAATATACCGTTTTTTTTTTTAATTTGGTAATAATGGCAACTGTGCAGTAACAATGTAATTTCTTTGTTGAAAGTATCAAAAGGAAAAAAGCTTACTTCAAGCCTGAAGAATCAGAAGAAATTTAAAGATTTTGTTCATTTGATTAATTTTTTTTGTTATTTATGGATGTTTATGAATATAAGCACAATATCACAAGATTATAGAGATTAAATTATCTTATACAAATTAACAATTTTCTTAAAATAACACAGCAATCCTGGAAGGATATCAGGAGTTGCCAACTAATGTGATATATGTTGGGAGAGAAATTTACTTTTTCGTTTATTGACTAGCTGTTTTAGAACACATTGTAACAGTGGAGGCAGAAAGAATGGCATGTTTGAGAATCAAAGCTAGCAATTAGTGGCTGTTTATAGACATATAAGAAAGGTATTTTCATGTATTACCTTGTGACATGTCATCAAGTTCTGCTTGGGTGCAATACTTTCAAGCTGCCAAATATTTCCTTCCTGATAAATATTTCCTGTTCATGTGCCTAGTTGTATGTAAATAAACAATTACTCTTTGGCACATTTTCTTTGGATATATTTAGTGACAAGGGCTGTAATGTTTGAAATAATGTCTTCACTTGACCTTGGAACTTGATGTGCTAAATTGAATTTTGCATGATTTTAGATGGAATTTGTTTTTAATGTTTGTGTGTGTGCTAAACAAATGAGTTCAGCTTAATTTTTTTTTCAGTGTAAAGCAGCAAAATGTATTGCAGTTTTTATGTTTATTCTAGACCACAAAGCACTTTCACTCCTGAGACCTGAGAGGGAATTTCTCTTACTGTCGTGACAATGCATTTTGTTGCTGGCTCTTACAAAGAGATTTGGGTGACATCAACATAGTATCCACTTGATGATAATTTTCTCAATTCTCATCTTCTGTCTACCTGATGGTCTAGTAACATTGTGTAGAGAATTTGTTTTCGGATCACAGATTGCCTTTCCTAATTTTGTTTTTTTGTTGTATTTTCACAGGTTCAAGCATTTATCGCAGGAACATCTTTTTGCAAAGTCGCAGTTTTAGTGGGAGCCAAGATGAGACAGATTCTGATGCAGAGACAGTGTGTAGTGTTCAAAGTGAGTATATTTTGCGGCCCCACATGTCAGCGCGTGACAGATATTTCAGCACATATCAGCTCAATACCATTTCTGAAGGAGAACCTAGAGACTTGATCAGAACCCAGAAATGGAGAAGCATGCCTGAGCTAGGTAGAAGTCACAGTCTTGGAAATGTGTCTTTCTATGGAGACTCTTTAGCTGCTGGTTTTGATGAAGATAGGAAGAAAAAGAAGAAACGAAAGTTTGGTCGCCGATCTGGTCTATATGTTGTAAATGACATGCCAGTGAGTGAAAAACCCAGGTTGTCCATTGACAAAGGCAAGAGTAAAACAAAAAGTTCATCAATATTCCTTAAGAATAAGTCAAAGAAAGAATCCTCACACATTAATGAGCTGACAAAGAAATGGTTTGACTCTACAACTGCTGTGAGTCGGCCAACAGGAGGCCAGAGTTTGGGAAGAATAATAGCTATGCGGGAAGATCTTGGAAGTGCTTATGTCTTGGAATTACATAGGAGTTCTGGAGGATTATTTGGGTTTTTTATTCAAAAGGGTTATCAGCAGTACAAGAAAGGGGTGTTTGTTAGTCGAATAATGGACTGTGCCTCTTCAAAGTTTATGGCTGGTCTGTTAAATCCTGGAGATGAGATCCTTGATATAAATGGAGAAAGCACTGCAAGCAAGACAATGTCAGAAGTACACAATATTCTTGCAAATTCAGACAAACTTGTTTTGACTGTGTTACCATTTCTTGGACGTAAGGATTGGTAACCATTGCAAAGTTCTTTGGAAAATGAAGAACTGAAATTTATCTCTTGCATAACTTATTAACAATTTGTTTTAATGACAGTTTGATGACAGGCAACCAAATTGAACTGGTTTGGATACAGTATGACTCTCGTAGTTGTAAATTATTTCACAGTGAGTGTGACAACATACCAAGGTTATTGCATAGATTTTCAGTGTGGGTAACATTTTAGTTGCAAATTAAAATGGTGGAAAATTCATATTAATGTTAAGATTTTGACCTTTAGTAAATTTTTCAATTAATTTAATGAGGAAAACTTGAGAAAAAATAGGAATGGGCTTGATTGTGTTCCAAATAAGTGCTCTCTAATGGGAGGTCTGTCACAGTTAATGCAATTTTGTTAATTTTTCATAATTTTTTAAAATTGGTCTTTTACAGATTCCTCACCACAACAATTTTTTCTGTCCTTAATTGTTCTCATTCCTTTGTTATCAAAGTTATGCTTCCCAGTCACAGAGGTCTAATTAGTCCACTGAACTCTGGATTGAAAAGGGTTGAGTTTGAAATTGTGTTTATGTTCTCTACTCTCACACAACCCAGGGCCGAGTTGTTCAAAGCTGGGTTAAGATAACCTGGGGTTAGTGTGAAATTTGATTTTAGATTTGAAAGCTTGAAGAGCCAATTCAGTTTATTTCTTTTTTACTACAATTTGATAATTGAATGCTCTAAAAACAAATTATGGCTAAAATTATTCCAAAACGGCTTTTGAACAGAGAAATATAGAAACCTGGATTAAAATCTAACCCTGGGTTAGCACTAATCGGCCTCTGAACAACTGGGTCCAGGAGTGTATGTTAATAACTGCTGTGTGGCTGGGAGACATAATAAAAATATGAGAGTAACCAGACATCTTGCTCAGCTGGAAGTAGCCATACTGTGGGATAAGCTTTGGCAGGGAAGCCAGGGCCTCTGACTTGAAAGCTAACTTCTGTATTTTGGTGTTTTTCTTTCTTACTAAAGTAATGTTTTGAGGTTTTCCTTTATTTATGTTACAATGGACAATTTAATGTATCAAGAAATGGTACCTTGGAGGACTAATACCTTTCATTGTAAATATTTATTTATTTTTTACAACAAATCACGAATTAATTTATTATAATTGTTAGCTGTGAATTACATTTGGAATTTGGAACAGCAAGTAACATTGCTGTTATTTTTTAATGAATATGTTGTACATAATGTAATCTGGTGAAAAGAGAGAATGCAGTTGCTATCACTCTTTACTTTGCCACAAGCACAAAATGTGGTTGTATTATTTAAAAGATTTAACTTTATTTATTCTTCTCCATCCAATATTAATGCTTTCAATATGTATATAAAGCAATTTATCAAAGTATTTTTTTGGGCCTATTATTTTTGTTGTGGCTCACTGACAGTTCAGTATTTGAAAAAGTATTGCATGATATTCCAAACAAAACCTGACATTTATGGTAACAGGTACTTACTCACTGTAAATGAAATTGTGGCAGTTTTACTTGTTTGAATGAATGTTGTAATAAGTATCTAATTTATTTCAATGCTCTAACAGCAATTAATGTTTGTTTGCTGTTTTTGGCAAGACAGGATTTTCAGGGGATAAACCTGAAATAAAGTTTGATGACTGACTCAGATATTTAAGTATTGGATTTCTTCATTCAAGGAATGATGCCCAGCATTCCCATCTTGTTGATCTAACTAACCAATAGCAACATCCCATTAAAGAATTTATTTAAAATGCCCGAGTCCTAAAAAGAACAAGATTGTGCATGATCAGAGACCTTAAACCTATGCTGCAACACTGATTACTTTTGATTGATCTTAACTACGTTTTAGATAACCCTCCCCCACCATTCATGAGATGGACATTAAATTTCTTGAATCAAAACAAACTCCCAAGATTGGATTGTTAATTCTCTCCTCTAGCTGCGACACATTTCCTTGTACATTTGATACAAAAATTTGGTGTTTGATCAATATAATATCACATACCTGATAAGTTTGAGTATTCTCACTACCAGTTTGCTGGATGTATGGATATTATAGGGAGAAGTTACTTGTCAATCACATCTGAGAGTTAAAGGGAAAACCAGGAGTGCTGCTACTCCCACATACAAGATACTGGTCAATCACATGTTAGCATCAGGTTTTCCTGATAGTTTGCAAGTACCCAGTTATACTCCTAAGAGCTTAGTTGTTTAAAGAGGTGATAATGCCATCCAATAGAAAAACTGCCTTCCAGCAGATAAGAGTGAAAAATGTGGTGCACTACCCACAGCATAGAGATTCATCCAGCCAATAGCATTATCCACCCTTCACATAACCCAGGACTGGTGGAGAGAGGTATATTGGGAGTTAAGTATCTCACCAAAGAACACAACACAATGACCCCTCGCAGACCAAATTACTCAGAGTCTTCTTTCTAGCAGCCCACTGGGCAGACCAAATTAATCAGAGTCTCCTTTCTTGCAGCCCGTTGGGCCAGCCTTTTTCCAATAAAAAATTCCCAGAAGCTAATGAGACTTGTATCTGCACAGGTTCATCTGTGTTGTCTTAGATGTACATGTTTACATTGCTTGTATAACAGCAATATGGAAGTCATTTTCAATGGTTAAGCTGAGATTATCTCTTCGCATCTGCTTGTGGGAAGTTATCATTTGACAGGCTCAACCCTAAAAAAGTCTTGAAAACCATAATTACAATTGTATCAATTTAATTTTTATTTCTGATTACTGGTTAGCGATCTATTGAATTTTTAACATTGTTGTAATTCAGTTATCAGAGTTTATCATATCAGCATTATCTGTTTTTCAAAAATCATACAATAAATATCATGAACACCAAGTAACTTCAGAATTTCTTTTCTCCACAAATGCAAAGGGTAATTGCACATAAGGTACACAATCAGATTGATGACAATAATTTAATTAAAGTGACCTTTCTTTAAATAACAATTGATTGTTGGATTGAAATCTCATAACACTATAAATAAAACAATTCATGACAAATACCATAGAACCATGCATGGAATTAATGACCTCTTAGAATAAGGAGCATCAATTAGAAACTGGTACTTACTATGTAAGAAACTTGTATTCTATGTACACGTGGTTTACTATCTTGCTAAAGAATCTGCCACAAAATTTTGTTCATATGTATGATTCATTATGTTTCATAATAAAGAGTTCAGGATGATATTCCTACAATGTCCAAGATGGATTTACCACTAAATGTTTTCAGCCACAGATAATCTTCAAAATGTTTGAAAATAGATGTGAAATTCAACTGTTTATAGAAGTGTGTTTAGTTCTATCCAAATGTTTCTATGGTGAAGGTAGAGACAATTTCCACTTTAAAAATTACTTCCAAATGTTGCTCTGTTGCATGCAGAGTATCCCAACTCATGTAAGAGAGTTATGCCACTACATGCTATTTAAAAAAAATCAAAGAAGAAGAAAAATCCAAACATAGAAAAACAAAACTAAGTGAAGTTGGAGAAGATTACCATAAGTTCAAAAATAAAAGAGAAACAACTTCAATATCTACACCATCTTGTCACTTGTTACTATGTGTTATGAATTGGAAGTTAATTTTTTACAGCTTCAATATTCATCCCTTATAGATTATCTAAGTCTCAAAAACTGATGGGCGCATCATTGAAAATAGTGTCATTCAAGTAATTCTAAATTATTTACAGGGTGAAAGTTGTCTTTAGATTTGTATCACACAAATTCACAAGATTTCTACTAGATCTTCTTTAAGCACTAGGGTCACTGCGGTACTGCTTTTCTGTGGCAAAGATCTCTCTTTGGGTATAAATTGGTGATAAAAAATGACCTGAGCCAAACAGGAAATCATTTCAACTTCATTCAGTAGGCATCATCCCACTAGTCAAAGTCTCAAATGGTTCAAACACTTGACTGAACTCTGTGGCGGTGTTCTACAATTGAAAGACCTTTTTGTTGGCTTCAAAAGTGCCCATCATATTAGAGGAAACATCCCACAAGCTCTCCTTTACTCTAAAGAGGCCAAACCTTAAAACGCACTTCCAATTTTTCAGCATTCTGGAGCCCAAAGGCTGACAGTTCGGTCTGCACTAGAGCTCAGGAAAGCAAGGAGAGTAGGGTGCCAACGGCACTGGATGACTTTGTCTCTATGATGAGCCACAACAGAGTAAGGTGGTACTTGTGTCTCTAAGTCTTTTCTTATGTCCATCAAGATTATACTACTGTCATAGGATCCAGTCAAAAGAAAGTTATTATCAGGTGAGAAACGCACTGATCTACAATCCATTGTGTGAGGCTTGAAAAGCTGTAGGGTTCTCCCAGCTGTAATGTCATAGATCATACAGCTTCCATCTTCTTGGCCTGTGTGGTTACAGAGAAAAACAGCAGAAGAAAACCACACATTAGTATAGAACAAAACTGGAAACTGATGAGGTGCTGATATGTACTTCTAGTATGGCAAATTCCAGTTAATTCATCATAGCAAAAAGTGGCCTAGTATCAAAACTGTACCAAACTTTGAAGCTAAGCCAGAAAGATAAAACTGCGGTAACACATGGTGCAAGTCTAAAACAAACTCCAATCTTAAACAGGGACTACTGGCTGGTGAAAATTACACCACGCAAAACCCTCAACTTTGATAAGAAAAATTATTTGAGACTAACACAATAAATCATGGTGGTAACATACTCAGTGTTAGTTTAATAAATTTTCATTTGAACTTGTTTCATATTGGTCCCTCCTGCTGACAGCATTTATACTGATGATGGATCTGATGATGACTCCAATGATGACTCCCTCTCAGGTTGAGGTTGTCAAAACATCAGTCACCAACAACAGCCTTCTTCAGGGACACCCTAACCCACTCACACTATTACACTCTTTCACCAAAAATTGTACATCACACAAAAGATTTGTGTCATTTACCTGAAGCTAACATGTTGCCTGATGAGTTTACGCAAACAGAGGCCACGCAGCTATCACCAGTTGCTATGGCATCTATACATCTTTGTGACCTCAGATCCCACAACCTTACAGTGTTATCTGCTGACCCTGAGGCTATGATATCATCACTGTCAGCATACACAGCCATGACATGTCCTGAGTGACCTTTGAGTTGTCCTATTGTCTGACCAGTACTACAGTCAGAGATCATAATATTTCCATCTCCTGTTTGATAGAATGAACAAGAAATTCAACGCACTGTGATTTAAGAACGGTGTGGTCTTCCCTAAGTAGATAACATCAGAATAAAGCAAAAGATACCAATTGTGGAGCTAACTCAGGGTAGTTTTCGAAAATTTCCTTTAATCTATTACACCCTTGCTCAAGTATAGTAAGTCTCCCTACTGTTCTCACTAAATTTCTAATGGTATCAACAAGGAGAAAATACTTAATGATCAGGAGCTTTTCCTCTATTCTTGCGACTCTAATGTTTCTAATGTTTAATGATTCAGAAATGGCACTGTAAGTATAAATTAGATGGTAATCACTTGTTGGGGCTAAAAGGTTACATAGAGTAATGAGACCCTTAAAAGATAATTTCCTGAAGTTAAACTTTGAAGAGAAAAGGGCAGTTTAGGGTAGAAAACATCAAGCATTTTTGTGTGGTCAATGTGTTTACAAGGTGTCTCTAAGGGGAAGATTTACTTGAAAACAAAGTAAATACCTGCCCCTCCAGACACTAGAACTGGTGTCCCACTGGCTCGGGAAACAAAGGCCAGGTCTCTAACTGTACCATTGTGGATAGCAAGCTCCAGCCCTGGCCAAGTCACAGAGCAAGTTTCAGCATCAAACCTGGTCATCTTGATGCTTTTGTCATTTGATCCTGTAGCTATTATGTCCCCTGAAGCACTCCATGCTACACAATAAATGGAGCCACGGTGATGACGGTTGCTTTTGAAGAGAATGGTTGGTTGTGGAGGTTGGCCACTGCCTTTACTATAGAAAAAACTCACCATATTAATAAAGTGTAAAACAAACAGCAGATGAAGTTGGCCATGAATTTACCTCCCAATACTTCAAGGATTTAACTATCTCTAAGTCATAAAATTCTATGACTTAACATGACTTTTTCCAGGGACTTTTTGATGTTTTCCATACTCTCTGATTGAGAGATTAATGTAGAGATGTTTTTTCCCCTCTGTTTTTCTACAATTTTTTATATCTTCCACAACTTCCTGGAAACCATACTCAAATTTCCTGACTTTTACCTCCAAAATATTGTTGAATTTCTCTTTTTTTTATGTATGACCAATTCCTTTCATACATTTACTATTTCTGAGTGGTCATGTTCACTCTTCACAAAAATTACAATCATATTTTCAATAAATCTCAAACTAAAGATAACTGATAAGTTGTTGTTAAATAAGAAAAGTGAATGACATACTAAAACCTAGTACCTTTCCATTCTCCTTTGAGAGTTTAACCCTTCAGCTGTGCAGACTCTTAAAGTCTTGGAATTTGACCCAATAGCAAACAAATCTCCTGATGGATGAAATGCTATTGCTCTGATAGCTTGCACATCTTCTAGAGTAGCTACTGTATAAAACTTGGCCTCAGAGGATGACTGCAGAAATTCTCTCTGTTTTTCCAGTAATGAAATATGATTTCTATGATTACCATTGTTGATAGTCACTGTGGTGTTGTTTGGTGGTGAATTGGTAGAAGGTTTACGGAATGTCATGTTAACTGTCCCCATTTCTCTCTCTGTGAAATAATTATTGCGTCAAAATTAAGAAAAAGTGCATTGTCAAGTTAGGTTTACTATTCCTATTTAAATGTATTTAGAAATTTACCTGCCCAATGCACAGCAATGACCTAAACATCAGTATCCATATTCTCCATACTCTTCTCTATACATTTCCTTTGATATTAACAAGGAGAATTTGTTTAAAAATCAAAGCATCTTAAGTTGACAATCATTTCTTTCATTCTCATAACCTTAATGAATGATTCAGCAGTAGTACTATAAGGAGAAATTAGATGCTGGTCACTCTTAGGCTTTAAAAGGTTAAAAGTGCTGAAAACTACAGTATCAGTACCTTTCTGAATGACATTATCAGGTTCCTTGTGAGGCTTTTTTTCTCCTAGATAAAGATCACCACTTGGAGCTCTTGAGTTCTGTGATTGATTCTCTGTTCCTGATAAAGACCCAGTTCTCATTAACAATGAAATAAAGTCGAACAATTTAAGCTGTGAATGTTTTTGACTGTGAAGTTTATGCAAATTACTTCCGTTTCTTGAGTATAACCATAAAATAAGTGTAAAACAAGGGGTGCATGGAAAAGGAAACAAGAGTGGCTTGTGCTAAATACTCTTCCAAATTTTCCTAATTTGCTTGTGAAATGGAGGGAGAACTGGATGTTGCATAAAAAGTCAATAGGTGGTTGATCCTGTGCAACCTTTCAAAAAATAACTGATACACATGTAAATAACCCACAACATTTGTGCTCAATGTTTGACAAAGATAACATTTCCATGGTATGAAGTACATGGTGATCAAAATTTTCTTTCAAAAAGAGTGAATCAGGAAAAGCAGTCAGTTTATTGCAGTCTTGTTCCAGTACAGTACCCTCCGCTTTGTAACAAATAGCAATATAATTATGTAAAAATTAAAGAAAATAAATGTATGTGTATATTTTCAATACAGTGTTTACGTACTTGAGTCAACTACAAATGTCATACCACTCCTTTTAGGTTGCCCATTTTCTCGTACTGCTCCCTCATGCAAACCTTGTGATACTGGTTCCATCTTCACATTAGCAGATTGTATTTGGTGACTGGCAGGTGTATTGCTCCCAATGTTGGCTGATTTAATAATCTCTGGTGTGGGTACATTACCACTGAGGCCCTCACCTTGAGATGGGATTATAATGTCCTTATTTTCCCCCATGGCCCCAATCTTGTGCTTACTACCACCCTGTGGCACCAAGGCTCTGCGCACACCATTGACTTTTGGTCCTCGTTTCAAAGGGATCTGTTGATTATGGGAGACACCATTCTCCTTGTCCTGTAAGATAGAAAAAATTAATATGATACATTTTATTTTCCAAAACATTTCATTCAAAGGTAAAAAAGAAAAGGTAAAAATTGGTCCATTTATGTCACTGGCGTAACATGGAATAGACAAAATAATTCTGTCTCTAACATCACAAAGGTCTAGCAGTATTAAACTTCTGTCAAGAATCTCATGATTAAATATACAGCAAACAGCTTGCATTAAGTCCAAGTCCAAAGGGAAATGAAGGAGTTTTGATTGACCTTTAGAGGCCTGATAGAGTAATGAGCCTCTCTATGTCAAAATAATATTAGAACCTTGAAAGTCACAAGAAAAGAAATAACCGCCTGTCTTGCATAGTAGGAATCAAGCTTGAACAACAGTATTGCAAACAATATAAATCAGCAAACAAACAACAGCCACTTCAAAGACTTACTTTAGAGATAACCAGAGCTAAGGGCTGTTTTTGATCTTCCATGAGTAATAAACACAGATGTGTGTTCAAGATGACAAGAACTTAACTCATATAAATATGAAACCTGTTTGAGGATCCAACAACCAGCCAAGTGGATAGGTTTTAAGGATTACCAAATGGTTCAGTGGATTTGACTGATCAAACCTCCAGTACCTACTGGTACCTGCATAACCATTCTACACAGCAGAGCTATGACAGAGGGCAGTTTTAGATTAAAATCCCTGGGATGAGGAAACAAACTCTTCACAGGTACCAGTAATTCAATCAAGAAAGGCAATCAAAATAAATAATCATGGAGGTACACATTTTTTGATCAGAAAACTCCAAAATTATACTGTTGCATTTCCTTTACATTTTCTGGTTCCTAATGGAATAAATACTTTAAGAAAATAAAACCATTCTTACATAGATTATAAACCAAACTCAGAATGTAACCAGAGAAACCATAACACTTTGTATGTTGAGCAAATGGAAATGGACAAATAGATGTGACCTACAGGATACTCTTTGAATCACAGTAGGAATTCAAAGGCACCAGTGTTTCCTGGATAAATGCAAATTTTAAAACAAGCATAAACTGAAGAAAACAAAGGTCAGATAAGAAGAACAGAGCAGCACTGTGTTTAGCACAGCTTGCAGACATAACTACATGTAAACCAGTAACTAAGACAAGTGACAACAAATGAACTGTGAAAACCTTTAAGAACCATGAGAAAAACTATTTACAAAGATCACAACACTCTCTTGTGCTTCTCCACCATGAAAAACCAGATTCAATTCACTTACTTTGAAGATGAAGACAGGCATTGTATTCACTGAGCAACTAGCTTGAGTGTAAGTTAGACTGTGGCTAAATTCAGACCTTACACACTATCCACAGTTTGGTAACAGGTGTTAAAAATTAAATGAAAGTAGATATGATGTCATTGAAGGAAGAGCCAGGTGTGAAGGGTAGTGAGTTAATATCTTGTAAAGCAACCACTTAGAACAGTTGGTTAGTGACATTTTGAGGGTTTTTAATTGTCATCAAGAAGGTAAAAGACCATCTAATCTCTACCAAATACATGTACTCACCAAACAAAAATGTTTTTACTCTAGGGTTGTCAAAAAGATTGATTTAAGCGGTTGGAACTGACAGTAACTTTAATAAACAGACGAAGCACAAATTAAAACAAACCCTGTTTTTTTCCCTTAAATTTTAACTTTCAGTCATTCACAACTTAGTTAAATCACTATACTTAACCCTCCTATACAGTGCTCAGTGTTTGGGAATATCATTTATACCACTGTAAAAATCTAACTTTATCGATTTAGCAGATCCAATTAAGAGCTACTCCCTCCTGTTTACCTTCCCTTTTGAAAAAATACAAAATACATAATTAAACCAAATATAGCCATTGCCTATACAATCTGGTATCAATGATACACTTTCAAACAAAGGTAAATGCAAAAGGAATAAGAGGGGGCCATGCAAGCTGGGGCCTGTATCTCAGAGATCCTGATAACTTAATGGGCCTGTAAAGCTGTCCTGTTTTCATTCATGATAGAGGTTTCAAAAATTATGAAAATTATACAATAAAACTATCAGCTACAGAAACAAAATGGACCAGTTATGGTGGCAGAACCTGCTTCTCTTATTTTAAATTTTGATCTTAAAATATGGCTGCAGGCTCATTAAGTTATCAGGACTTATCCAAGAAATGGGCCCCTTGTGCATTTTACTTCTGGCATCTTAACATAGTGGATAAGATTTTAAGAAAAACACTCAAAAAACTTTGGTACAAATGCAGTTCAAATCAGGAGAATGACAAGAAGTAAAGATATCAAGTGAACACAAAAGTTAGAGCACCATAGACAAACAGTGCAATCCAAAACATCTACAGCCTGTCATCTCTAGTCTAACATGACAGTCAGAAAAAGCACATTGGCCATAACTGTGAAGGCAGCATTCGATTACAACCACCAAAATCTTTCAGGTCTTAACAATCTTGTACCAATAGAGTGCTGCTTTTATTTGAATTGCACTGGGATTATTGATCTCAAATATAAGACAAAAAACATTGCATTATGATAGTTGTAGTAAAATGACACCAAAACAAAAATGGCTGGTGAGAGTTTGGTCCAAAGGACTTTAAAAATTACAAATTTGAGTGGTAACATACCATTACTGTGTCAGAGGCTGATACAGGGAGCATCGGTGAATCTGTTTTGTTGCATTCTACAACATCTTTAGGTGTCTCCTTCACAAAACCAAGAGGAATGCTGCATGGGGGTGTGGCACCATCTACATGCAGGATAGGAGATGCAAGTGGTGCTGGAGTAGATTTCAATCCTTGCCTAGTGGACTTTGGTGTACTAAAATGACATTAAACCATCACAGACATTCATTTTAAATAGAATTATATTATCACTCCAGAATGCAATCAGTTTTAAAAGATTACTGAAATCCCACATTGAATATAGAGCTCCGACACGCAAACCTAATTCTTTTGTTTTGGCCATATTTCACTTCTACACCAGTGTTTAAGTCTAGTATTCATGGTGCATGTTTACAAATCTATTTAGATAAAATTTGCTTATTCAAAATTCATCAACAAATTTTACATCAATGTTCTACCATGACAAGTTCAAATTGCACTCATGGCAATAATTGGATAGTCAGAAGGCATCCTTTGAACTGAAAACTGGAATCAAACTCTAACAAAATAGTTGTGTCTGCTTCAACCCTTTAAATAATGGATTCCTTTTAAGGGCCAATTGAAAACTGTTCTGTAAACAGAGTCAAGACCTTTTAAACACTTAAGTTAGACATAGAAGCTGGATTATTAAATAGCTGCCATAGATTTATAGTACTGTTAGAAGTACAATTTCATACTAAAACATTGTTTAAAACAATTTCACATCATGGTTAGCATGCAATGCAAAGCACAATGTGGTTTACGACTTATTACATTTTCTATTGATTTACTAGTAGTAGTCACAAAATGTTTTGTCACTTGAATGTTTTGACAAACATTCAATTAAACAACCACAATGAACTTGATTATCAGTATATTGCTCTAATACTTTTATCACTGCAAGTCATTTACCTGGTGTTCAGAACTCCTGAACCGTCTGCCAAGGCAACCCAGTGACCTGTCCCAAACGGTGTATGTCCATTTAATACTGGAGTGTTAGGAAATGTTTGCTCTGCTGGCGTAATTGGCACTCCATCATAGGCAGTAAGACTACCCTTGGTATCTGCCAAGTTTAAATCCTCAGGTTTATTCTTTGGTTTTGTAGCAGGAGTTGATGTCACGACTTGAGTGACTGAGAAACAAGTTGCATCATTTTTTTCATGATTTAGAAATGGCCTCACACTTTCTGGTGTTTGATAGCTGCCTTGAGGCCATGGCAAATAATCCTCACTGTTAACATGATTCACATTTCCTTCAAATAGACCATGAATTGATGCCTCTCCATTTGGCTGATGACTTGGATGACTTTTAAACCCAACATCATTAGATAAGAGTTTACTCTGAGAGCCATTGGAAGAATCACTGGATTCTGGTCTATGACTGAGTAGCTGAGATGTTGTACTATCTGTTGTATTAGGTTTCTTATTAGCAGTCTCTCTTAAGGACAACTCTAGAAGTTGTCGTTCAAGATCTTGCTTCTGCCTCTCATAGGCTTCAAGCTGTTTCAAAACATTTTGCTGTTGCTGCTCCTTCAGCATATGAATAACCCCAGGATCACAACTCGAGTCTGTACCATTAGCAACTAGGGGTTGAGAAGGATCCTGTTCATGTTCAACATTATTTGTATCATCATTTAGTATACCAGTTTCAGCCAATACTTCTTCTTCACCCTCATGTCTTGAGTCTAATCTTCTTTTAGGGAGGCCAATATTACCTGCATTATTCAATGGCTCATTTTCTGAAGAGCCTTTGTAGTGAAACTCATTATACGATTGTGAAATTCCTTTGAGAGGTTGACTGGAATGTGGTCGGTTGTCAGATAATGCTCCCCTGTTTCCTTCTGTTTCCAGCCTGGACAGGTGTGAAGCCATATCTGCTGTGGCTGGCCTCCCTGAAAGAGACAAACTCCTTGAAAGAATTTCAGCATCATCTCTCTTAGGAGACTTGTGATATAAAAAACCAGGTGTTTGTTTTCCTTTCTTCAAGTCCACTTCTAAACTCACTGGTTCAAAAGGTGTAATGAATGCATCTTGAGAGAGATTTTTGAGCCAAGACAAAAAATTACCAGAACTCTCTTGTGATGGCCCAAATAAAATATTGTCTCCAATGCAAACATCAAGCTCCCCTGAGAGATCTCCGTTAATTGCTCTTAACTGACAGTAATCCACACAACTCTCGAAACACAGTCCCTTAATTAATAAGTGTAATAATCTGTCTCTAATTGGAGTCAGTGGCTTCGGAAATTTCCCATTGAGACCTTTTTTCTCGATGGGAATGACCTTCCGTAGTAAATCAAGAATCTGATCAAAGCACTTTATCCTTGCAGTAGTGGGGTTCCAGTCGCGATATTCCGGTTGCTCAGATAAATTAGGAACAGTTAACAGCCAACATAGTTTGCTGTATTCAGCCTTGTTTGGACAGTCTTCTTCCAGTTGATTCAGACACTTTATTAAATCCTCAATCGAATAGCTTGTTGAATTTCCACCGAAGCCCGACTTGAAGTACAACACTTCCATGAATTTCTGCTTCAAAACAAGATAACGGAACTGTCTTGAATCAAACTCGTTGATGCCTTCAAATGGCTGAGCAAAGATCAATATGGCCTCCCACTCGCCGTCGAGAACAAGGTCTCTTAAAAACAGAATGTCATCCGAGAAACCACAGTTAACGATTCCAGATTCTTTCTCCAGACTTCTCATGGAGTTATGAAGCTTTCTAGAATCCAAGAAATCGAGGACAAGCCTGATAACTTGGTTGTCTTCCACAACTACGTTGGTATTTAACATCTTTCGTACCTCACTCGAGAGAACCCTCTTGCTTTGCTTATAAGTGTCTGCACTCTAAGTACCGTTCAGGCCTCGTTTGTTTTTAAATCGTCCAACACCATATGCCACCACAATGCTCATCTTCACAAGGTTCTTTCTCCGACAGCTAATAACTTTATTACCTCCCTCAACAGAAACCGTCTTTTCATTATTTCTAAACGTGGTTTGTAAATAATGCATCGCGCCAAAAACAAGACAGACGCATGCGCGGAAAGAACTGCTAGATTAGCCGGCTCAGCGGAAACAGCTTAAAGGCTCAACCTGTTATTTACTTCCGGTTGTATTTGTCTCACAATTATTAAAGATAATTGAACCATGTTCAATTAGTGCTTTCTTGATGTTTTCAAGAATCAAATAAAATTTTACTAGACAACATGCAGTTACCATAATACCTGACACACACAAAAAAAAGGATTTTCGACAAAATTTCCCTCGAGTGTAATTTTTGCAACAAGAGGAACAATAAATGTCATTCCACAATTATTTTGTAAATATAAGAATGTGATAACAGACATCAAGGGTGTCTAAACTTCAATGATGTCATTACTCACAGCTTGCTTGAAGCCTACATTGTTTTCTGCAGTTCTGAGTGACACATCCAGCAGCAGAGCAGGTTACATATCTCTAACCCTTTACTCAGTCTACTACTGACTAACTTAACACTCGTTTCACCTGGACAAAAGCCTCCTCCTTGTTTTCGTAAAACACTTGAGAAGAGAGAGGCTTTTTGAGCAGGATCATGGGTGAAATTAGACATAACAAATTTTATAGACCTCAAGAACATCCATGTACCTAATCTGTCTAACACTTGCACTGAGGGGAATTTCTGAGCAAAGTAATATGGACATTTGATTCACTTTGTAATTTTTGCAAGGGGCAAAAATCCTTAATTCTTTCAATTTCAACAATTTTTTGGTGTGATAACTATGGTTAAAAACTTGATTGTTAAATATTTCAAAATTCTTCTTTTTGATTGATTCCTTTTGTCTCTTTAATCATTACATCATGCACTTATGCATAGGGATTTCAACTGTTTGCAATTGGACATCTGCATTGGGATATTTATATTTCTAATTTGTCATTTAAGCACTCTTTCATGGGTTCTTTTCCTTTTTCATAATGTTCATAGATGGTCACTAAAAAAAGGTCTTGATACCTTTAACCTTCAAATTCCCAGGTGACCAGACATGAATTTCTCTACAACATCCATACACTTTCAAGCAGAAATGTGATGAGAAGTGAAATAATTACCTGTTAGGGGAATGTTTGGTTGACCACCAAATTCTTAGATCTTAAAATTATTGGTTATGAATGACAAAAAGAAGGGAGAATCTGTATTTAGATCTAGGGGTTGACAAGACAGTGGCCTAATGATCAGCATTCTAAAATCTGGACTAGAGATGTTGGTTTGAGCCTTGGACAGAGTCACTAAGCAGTGCTGTGTTTGCAGTTTTCACCCTTGTGGTGCCTCCCACAACTAAGAGAATAAATGAAAACATACAAATTGTAAGGGAGACCTTAGAAACTATTAGAGGGTAACTTGTGATGGAATAACATCCCATCTTAGGGAGGGGGGGGGGGTGGTGGAGATTCTATTTCCTAGATGCCATGGAAACCAGCATAGGCATCAGCTTCTATGGGAGTTAGTCTTACATGGAGAGATCACCTTACCCAAAACCCATTATTCTACTTAGAAAACAACTACAATTGTTAAATTTGGAGCCAGCAACCTAAGAGCTTTAATAAAAATTTTTGGACACTAACACATTGAAACAGAACACACCACAAAAATTCACTTGATTATTTCACAATCACTGTCATCATCATCTGAGAGTACAATGGAGATAACTGTCCTTTCAGAAGTTTCCTGTTTCTTGATAGGAGAATTTCTTCCCATCTTGTTCAAAGAAAGCAGCAATCTCTTTGATGCTGTTGCTTCAATACCAGACTTATCACTATTGATACTTTGGTCTGGTGGGCTGTTTGCAAAAGAAACAGAAGGCTCATCCTTTTCAATTTTTGATAATCTATTGTTGCAATCAAAATTTAATTTATTGTTTATGGCCTCTGGGAGGTTACAAGAGGAAGATGGCTCATTTCCTCTAATTTCCAAAGTCGCTTCACAGAAACTTTTCAGTGGACTTTCAAAATCAAGCAATCCATTCTCTGCTTTCCTCTTCTTGGGGAAAATCCTGTGACCTTTAATTGATATAGGTTTAATATTGACAGTAAGAGGTGATAAAGTAAAGTTTACACCTTTTCTTTTCCTAGATGGAGTGGACTTTGGTGCATCATCATGAGAACCATTTTCCTTTGGAGATTTTCCAGCAACAACTTCTCTGTTGTCAACATCAGAATGAAAAGAAGAACCAGTTACATTGCCAATCACATCTTGTGCCTTATCATCAAAATCTTTAATAGTTGACAGTACAGGTCTTAGAAAAGACTTTGTGTCCTGCACTGAAGAATCTTCAGAGCTGGAGATTACTTGACTTGGGGAAGTACTGGTCTCTTGAGATTTAGACAAGGTCTCTACTAGTTTAGCAGCTAGCTCTTCCTCAATTAACGTGATAACATTAGGATCTGATTTAACACTGGAAAGAGAAGACTTTGTCAAATGCAAAGAAGAATTGTCAATGTTTGATACTTTATGACTTGAGGAAGTACTACTCTCTTTGGATTCAGGAAAAGTCTCTTCTGGTTCAGTTGTCAGACCTTCCTTATCAACAGTGATAACATGAGAATCTGATTTTGTACTGGAGGAAGGCTTAGTCTCCTGCAATGACAAATCATCAACACTTGATATCACATGACTTGGGGAATTATTAGTCACTGAAGACTTAGAAGAAGTCTCTACTGGTTCCATTGTTAGATCTTCCTTAATTGCAGAGACAATATAACGATCTGATTTTGGGCTAGAATCGTTAGGTTGCTGATTTGTGGATACTGCACTGTTGTTAATCCTTTCTGGTGCTATAACAGCAGGCTGATCAGGTAATGTATTCTCTTTCCCACTGGTGCCTGTTTGCTCCAAAATTTCAACAACAGAGGGTTGAGAGGCACCATCCATTTTCACTATATTTTTGTGTTTCACACAAATTTCATTGCATTCAGACAGAGCTGAGGTAGGTAACTCAACAATAGCAGAGTTTTCCCACAGATTTCTATCATTTGATTGCAATGGAGTATTGTTTTCCATGTCAAGTTTAGTCTCAGTTTCTGTTTCTTTCTTCTTTCCTCTTAGTTGATGAGGAGACTTCATGGAAAAGTTTTGCAAGTCACTTTCATCGTCATCAAACCCTTCCTCCCTTCTGATCTTTTTTGTGCTGTCATTCATACCTTCTGTCAACCCAAAGTCATTGCATTCATTTTCACTAGAATCTGATGATTGTGTGACAGAAATGCAAGAGAATCTCTTTTTCATTGTGACTCTGTCACTCTTATCAGGTCTTTCCTCCTCAACATCACTGCTGCTTGAGGTATCAGTGCTATCATGAGCTTTCATGCGTCCATAGCGCACAAACTTTGTAAAAACTTCATCTAGATTCTTTTTGTTGACCTTCTTGTTTTCTTCCAACTTCTTGCGAAGTGCTAAGTCATTTATGGCAGGGTCATTACTGGCATTACAATCATCTGTGAGGTGACATCCAAAATTGAAATTAAAATCTCTCTTCCGTCTCTTCTGTAGAATGTTACCTATACACATGAACACTTCATCACTGATCTCATTGAGAGCTTGTGTTGACAGTTTCAAGCCATACTTTTTGTTTGCTTCTTGTATTACATTACTGATGTCAAACTTATCAGGAAAACGACCTTTCTTATTCTTTATGAATTTTTTTATGGCATGGTCTATCCCTGGTAGGCCCGTGGTTGGGCACTTGACTTCTTTCTCTGTTACCCTTCCTGTGTTGGGGGGTTTTCCCTGCACTCTACAGATCTTGTTCCAGATTTGATTAAATTTCTCTTTCAGACGACATTCTTGAATATATGTACTGTCACTCATATCCATTTCATCCAAACTCAACTCTGCTTGATTTAAAATCTGAATTCTCTCTGCCAGGTTCTTAAGCTTCAATTCCATTCTTTTGACAAGCTTCTTTCGTTTTCTAGGGGTAAGCGGTTGTTTCGAAGGACTTGCCATTTGTCTTTTCTTCTCATTAATTCTTCCATTAACAATACCACTTGAAGGAGGTTGAATAGAGCTTGTGCTGCTCGTTGAGGGGACAGCAGTCTCGGGAAGTTTCGCCCCCTTATCTGTTGTGAGATAGCCTGGTTCACTGTCCACTACAGTCAGTTCGATCGCTCTGTTTACGTCGCCTTCCACGCGAGTGAAGGGACTCACTGCTTGTCCATTTCCCGCGAAATGTACATCATTGGCTTTTTCGTCAACATTATCCACCTTTGAATCTGGCAAGAGAAGCTTACAAATATCTCCAGTATAAATGTAGCCATTTGACTTGTTCATTTCTCTCGTCCTCCATTTCAGAGCATTCTTGAATTTCACGGATGACACGAACTCGGACCGAGCCTCCGCGAATTTCAGCTTCAGGAAAAGCACCACATCGTTTTGGTCTACACATCTCTCAACTTTGGAAACAAATTCTTTAAAAAGTCCCTCGACGTCTTCATCTTCGTCTTCATCACCAGAGCTGACTAATATCGTCTCATTTCCAGAGGTGTTCTGTCTATCCGCCATGTTACATTCACGTTTAAAAATGATGGTGGTCATATGGGTCACTGTCATGCAATTTTTGGTCGCGCAAGTTGCGTATCGGATGCGCATTAAACACTCCTTATAAGTGCATAATGACCAATTAAGGTAATAGTAAAGACAATACAATCCCGAATATGGAAACTTAGAAATTGGGCCTTGTGAATAGCTGAATCAAATTTATTCAAATTATCTCTAGATAGAGTATCATATAACTGAAAGTAATAATTCAAGAAAGGAAATGCTAAAATGTGAGTGCATTGAGTCCAAAACAGGGAGAGCGATGCAAATTCTTCTACTAATTACTTGATGGTACATGTGATAAGTTATGCCAAACTTTGTGTATGGATTAATTAGGAAATACTTCTTTGACTGTGAACATATGAAAATCATCTATGTAAAATTTGAATTAAGAGAAAAATGTGAAAGCTATCTTTGCAGTGATGAACACTACTCAAGCAGTTGTGAAAACAAGGCTTAAAAAAATTCAAGCCTGTATGGGATTTGAACCCAAAATATGAAAGCGATCTTCACAGTAATGAACACTACTAAAGCAGTAGTGAAAACATTAGGCCTGAAAAAAATTCAGGCCTGTAGGGGATTCGAAACCATGACATCTGTGACATTGGTTCTATCAGTATCAAGTGTACAAAGAAAAATATTAATTACAAGTTAATTTACAAGGATTAAAAGTTGATTCAAAATCAAATTCTTTGAATTAACATCATGAGAATTCAGTAAATGGTTTGAACCCAGGGGTAACATGTAATAGTGTAGTTTGATCATTCGGGTGAGTGTTGTCCTGAAAAGGACTGTTGTTGGTAATGGTGACTAACATTTTGACAACCTGAGCAGAAGTAATCATCAGAGTCAAGTGAAAGGTTGTTGTCAGTCAAATGTACTTAGTCCAGTTTGTATAAACTGATTGTTCAGTTTTGCCGTGATGTTATTGGCTGTAAGACTCAAGTGGAATAAGTCAGTTGTGATTAGTCGTGATTGGCCGACCAATCACGACTGACCTACACCACTTGAGTCTTACAGCCAATAACATCTTGTCAAAACTGACCAATCAGTTTATACAAACCAGACTAAGTACATTCGACTGACAACAACCTTTCACTTGACGTTGTAAGTTTATACAAACCAGACTAAGTACATTCGACTGACAACAACCTTTCACTTGACGTTGATGATGACTTCCGCCCAGGTTGTCAAAACATCAGTCACCATTACTGACAACAGTCCTTCTCAGGACTACACTCAACTGGACAATCAAACTGCATTATTGCTTCGTGAGAATTGTATGGCAAACAGTAAGGAAAACATTTGTAACGAGATCTCATGAGTAATAGGATTAACTGAAGAAAAACATATTGCTTCCTTTAGCATTATAATAGTTGTCCTATGATGCATTCAAAAAGAAATCCTTAACGACCTTGTTTAATGTTCCTGTGACTGCATGACAGTTTCAATGCTACAAAAACAAATTCAATTGGTTCTAACTGATTCTCTGATGTACTGGAAAATATCATCAGTGGGGGATTTTAATTCTGGTTCTTCATCCCATGTTGTTGTGTACATAGTTTTAGATTTTTATTATTTTAGTGGCAAGTGTGACTGATCACAGAACACATAGCAGAAAATTGTTTTTATTGCTACATTATAATTAAATTTACATGTCACACCAAACATATATACATATGAATAAAGGGGGTAAGTTTCTATAATTAGAAACTGTGGTGCTGGGTTGGTGGGAGAGTACAAAAAGATAATTTAGTTTTACTAAATTAGTTGGTTATGTATGAGTTTCTATTAGAAGCTGATATTTTGAAGGTTTATAGCCCTTTTTCAGAGCAAATGATGAAGGACTAATGCTCAAAATACTGCTTAAGAAACTCCTTACAGTGGCCTATCTACAATATCAACTTAAATGATAAAAACCAAATTTAAGGGCTCTCAGCTCACTTTTTCCTAAGAGTTTCCTTTTTGTGACCATCAATTGTAAAATAGAGGCCATTAAAAAATGTTTGTACTCCTTTTTTTCCTTTTTCTATCTGGTGGTTGATTGGCCAATTGATAACTTTCATTGCAATTTTAGTTGCCAAATATATTTTCACTTGCCAGAGTGACCAAAATGGTCGCAGCTTGGAGCACTGAATTATTTATATATAAATATGTCTTTTGATACATTGCACTGAAAAGCAAAAGACAGAATAGAAAGAGTAACTTATGACTTGATTATACAGCTATTACCTTGTTTTTCTTTATAATTTCATTGTATATATGCAACAAAATATCTTGTTCCTGATATGTCAATGTCAAACATAAACAAAGAAACAGACATGCAATTTTCCAAACGGTTCAACAGTGCTACAAGATGTGTACACCCATGATGTATGAAGTAGCATTTAAAAGTGATTTTGTTGGAAAATGAAAGACAAAAAACACATGAACTATACTCCTACATTTTATGACATGTGAATCATCATAGTACTGAAAACATACTGTATGTGAATTATTGAATTTAAGGTAATAATAACTATTAGCAGTCAACCTGCAGGACATCATGTACAAAGCCCAGAAACCTAGTGAAGAGTTTAAGTTTTGGAATGGTATTGTGGTTCTGTACAGAAGTTGCACAAGTATATAACTAAAAATGAAAAACATGTATATACAAAATCCTACATTCTGATTTCACCGCTAACAATTTTAGCATACTTTCCTTCATCCAAATCTACATATTGCTTTACTTGTGAATCAAAATAAAAAAGTTTATCCTTCACCACTCCTACATCAAATCCTTCTTGTCTTAACTTAGTTTTCTGAAGTTTAAATGTTCCTGTAAGACTTACATCACCCAGGATTATTCGCAAGAATATGGGATGAGCATAAATTGGTAATTTTTCTTTCAAGCCCTGAACAAGAGAGCTCAAGTCAATGCCTTTGTTGTGTGGATCTGCAATGGCAGCCATGCCAGCTCTTCCTTCAGTGCCAGGGATTTTGACACCATAAACCACCACATCACGAAGACTCAGTATATTGCTCATTATTGCCTCCACTTCAGCTGTAGAAACATTTTCTCCTCGCCAGCGAAATGTATCTCCAATGCGATCATGAAAATAAACATAACCATACTCATCCTTGATGAGAAGATCTCCAGTTAGGAAATATATATCTCCCTTCTTAAAAATGTTGTGGCCAAGTTTCTTTGCAGTTTCTTGTTGGTTCAAATATCCATCAAATGTAATGCCTCTCTCTGCAAAGGAGATAGCAAATATTACTGTCATCAAGTAAAAAATCCATAACCTATATCATGACGCACTAGCATAGCAAACACAAATAATGCATTCTTCTTACTATACATTATTTGCCTCCTTCCCCCTTCCCTCACCATGGGGACCTTCATAAAAAACAGACAAACCATCTAATGGGCAGTAACATGAAATCACCAAAATTTGCATGGCCTGAGAACAGAAACCACACAAGAAAATTATCTAAAATTTCATTTGGAAGTCAATGCTGTGCACAAACCCTATGCCAAAGTTAAGATGTGGAGCTGTTAGAGACAGTAACCACATCCAGCTGTTTGCAGTTAAAGATACAGACTGATACAGATACAGATACAGATCTTTATTGAAGCTTCCTGAATGGGTTTTTAAGCATCAATACAAATGGTTTAAAAAAATAAAGCTAAAATTAAAGAATATAAAACTATAGTTACAGCTAAATATATATATATCAGATTGAAGAATAAAATCATAGGAATTTGGGATCCTGTCTTGACTGCTTTAGTCCCTAAAGTTGAACTGTAGTAACCTAAATCTGTTCTCTACCAGACTGATAATTACTTATACAGACTGATAAGCAATTTTTCCTTGCAGTATGAATATGATATTGAGCAAACAGGTGATTGGAAGGAAGAAATACAACAACTTGGAACTAACAATGTAAGAAATGTGAATCAGAAAGTAACAAGAATTACAACTGAGATCTTGAGCATGAGAGGGTTAAACACTTATTGGGCTTTTTTTTTTAATTTGAAAGCAAACACAGTTTGGAAGTAATCGAGAAAGACAACATCTGTGTTCTATTGTAAAAAATAAATCTCTTCTTGTAAGTAGGAAAGTAAAGAGCACAAATGAATCGAGTTCCAGATCTGTTTTACCAGCAGTGTGTTAGCTAGAATTAACACCAATAACATTATCGTCCTGTCTTCATAAAAAAAAAAACACAAAAAAACGAACAAAACATTGACACCCCTAACAATAACCAGTCAGCAATGCATGTGGTGTAATATCAGAGAATGAAACACTACCTTTGACAATTTTTCCAACTACAAGTCCAGGTTCCCCAGTATTTGCTTGGATTGCCAGCCCATTCTTATCTCTAAGCAACTCACCAGTAATGGGGTCAACTTTAATAAAATAAAATGGAAGCAACTTTGGGAAAATAACTGAGACAAAACCACAGGCACATGGGGTATAATCAATGTTGAAAAATGCCACATTTCCTTCAGTAGAACCATAAAGCTCTCCAATCTTGCTGATACCAAAACGAGACTGGAATTCATTCCATATTTGAGGCCGTAATCCATTGCCAAATGCAACACGTACTGAGTGTTGCTTCTCTGATGGTGAATATGGTTGGGCTAGCAGATAGCGGCACAGCTCACCAATATACTGGATCACCTGACAGAGAAAAGCTATATAGTTATTCTGGAATAATTTTATCAGTTTATCTCTAATCCTATATCTCTTTTTTATCAATTCAAATATCTGAGGAGTTTTCATTCATAACAATGATGAAATATCATTCTCAATGCAATCTTGTTAAATCTTTACCCCCTATGAGTGTCTAGCATCAGATTTCTCCTCACAATATCACCCCAGAATAAAACATTAAGGTCAAGAGAATAAAGGAATGATAACCAACAAAAAAAATGTTTGATTGCTAGACAAATTCTCCTTGTCAGCACCTGAGGAAACATATGAAGAACAGTAGGGAGAAAATTTTCGGGTTGAAGAGGTTAATACAGTATGCACCCCAAACTTTCTGTCATGCCCCCACTGCTGCTGTGGCTACCAGTTTCCTCCTCATAGGGTTCAAAATTAGCTTATTTGCACAAGTACCAAGTCGTGATTAAACTTTTTTGTTTCAATCACCAGATGGAATATTATGGTCACCAAAAGATGTTGAATTTAAAAATTTTCAGCTCCCAATGAATTACATAAAATTGAAGTTTTATATATGCAAATGTTTCTTTCCTTCAAAAATATTCCTTTTGTTCATGTACAATCACCAGTTGATTGTACAGAAGTACAACAGAAAAATTTTGCAAATTTTGTTTCTTGAGTGTTAAGGCATCAAGTTAAATGCTGGCTGGCAGCCAGCATTAGGTAATTTTTCTGCTGCACATGTTTAAAGCATCGTGGTTTCCTACACTTATCTTGTGTTCTCCCAACCTCCCGCGTGTTTACATCAGGCTATGTAAACATGGAAACCATTTTACATTTCTTTTATAAAATAACTAATGAAAGAGGAATGAAAACCATGTTTACATACGCTCATGTAAAATGGTTTTATGGCCAATTAGAACGTGCATACTATTTGAATTATTTTATAAAATTTAGCTACTTACTGTTACTTTATGCTCAATACATTCCTCCCAAAATTTAGAAGCAGAAAATTTTTTTCTCAGAACCAATGTGACTCCTTGTAAAAGACAAGCTCCCACACCAAGTGCTCCTCCTCCAGAGTGATATAATGGTAGAGTACAGTACATGATGTCCTTGGATGTAATATTGTACAGAGAGGGAACACAGCTGAATCTGAAGAACCTGAAGGAACAAAAGGTAAAGTGTACCATGTAACACATGACTGTATATTGGTGTGGACAGAAGGATGTGCAATAGCCCAAAGTACAAATTTCCTGAATGCCCCAATTATTTCAAGTCCCTGAAGTCAAAAATTCTTTCACAACATGATTAAATATTTAATGAAATGTCCATAGGCACACATTCAAGCAGCAATATGGGCTTGTTAGGGCGAGAATTTAAACCTTTAACTCTTGAGAGGGACTTGCACCAAATTTCTCCAAAGAATATCACCCCTGAATCAAACATTAAGGTCACAAGAAAAAAAGAAATGATCTCTGACTAAAGAAGGTTTTGATTGTTATTGAAAACAAATTCTCCTGGTCAGCACCTCAGAAAATGTACGGAAAAGGGCATAGAGAATATGGATGCTGATGTTAGGGTGTAAAGGGGTTAACAGAGTAAGGAAGAGGGGAAATGAGGGAATCAATGACATCATCAACATTGTTGTCAAACATAAATCCAATGTTGTATCATTTCTACCTCTGATGAGTTATTACTGCGGCTTTAGGATATCCAGTTGTTCCTGAAGTGTAGATATACATCAGTGCATCTGTAAGAAATGAGAATATACCCAAGAGAATTAAAGAGTGAAGAGGGCTGTGTTGGTACAGTAGAAAGGGGAGAGAATTCAGATTCTTGAATCTTGAAAATGCACAAACCACATGATCAATATATTTCTTACACTGGATACTCCCTGAAAAATGACAACTAACCTTCAAACATCTGTGTTTCATCAGCAGGTGGTGGTTTCAAGGGACTTCTTTCCAATTCCCGAAGCAAGCTCTTAGCTGAAGCCTCAGAACAAGGAGATGTTCCAAAGTTGTACAGCTCCACATCCTCTGGTAACTGACTACGAACATCTCTCACAGCGACTGCACAGTAAAAGATAAATTACTGACAAATTTATCATGAACCTGATACTCAGAGGGCAGTCAATGTTACTCTAAATTTAACCTTACTTTGAAATTCTGGTATAATTATAAATAATAGTATACATAAGGTCTAGCAAAAGAAAAAAAAATAATGAACCCTAATTTCTTGTTAGTGTACTCATGATTTAAACAAGCTAGAGTGGTCTCAATAGTATGTCTTCTGTAAAGTTGAAAAGCATTATGAAAGCCTCATGTCTTAATTGATATGTCTGTGTTTTTTTAATTAAAGTTCATAGTTAAAAGATTTATTTTCATTATTTTTTTATTTTATTATTTTATTTTTCTTGGCTGACACCATTATGTTAGCATTGAACCCACTTCCAACCTCTCATGCAAAGGTTACTTCACTTAACCTTTTAACTCCCATGAGTGACCAAGACAGAATTTCTCCTTACCATATCAATACAATATCAACCAAATAAGTGATGAGAATAAAGAAAATGTCAATTTGGGAATAATTGGTTGATCCAAGACTCAGTTCTCTGAACTATTATCATAAGAATTGTATGGTTGATGGTTAGGAGAATTACAAATTTGGTCTGGGAGTTAAAGGGTTAACAAAGAAGACATGATCTTTTCACCTGAAAGATCACTTCCAAAGATTACTGCCCTGGGATCTGCAGCAGATATGCAATGCTTCAGAGACTCTAGTCGAAGGTTGTTGTTAATGAGGGCAGTTATCACACCAATCTTAGACAAACCCAGCCATATGCAAACAAACTCAGGGCAGGAATGCAGAAAGACAGCCACTACATCTCCCTTTTTGTAGCCCTGTGACTTGAAATAATTTCCAATTCTGTTGGAGAAATCCTCCACATCTTGGAATGTCCAAGTTGTCTGTTCAAATATGAAGGCTGCTTTCCCCGGATGTTTAGACACTGTTCCTCGAAATAAGTCAGCAACAGTCACATTTCCCTTCTTCTGAATTCTTTTGACTCGAATACTAATCTTTGCAACCAAGTAAACGACCCTGATGGTAAATATTGGTTTTTTTAAGATAAAAGTGAACTCAATAATTAAAATAAAACTATATGGAGTTTATGTCGTAGAGACCCAGAGACCTACAGACTGAAAGACCTAAGGAGCTAAAGAGCTACAGAACCACAGAGCATGAGACCCCATAGGGCCTGAGCCCTTAAAGACCCTCAGACATCGCGTATGAGCCGAAGTTTTCCCTTTGCGTGCCATGTCAGACATGTCTGGTACAAGCGTTCATTGGTTCGATTTCGAAGCTGACCACTAACTCTACTAATTCCAAATATAAACAAATTACAGAATCGTGTACAAATACTCGAACAGAATTCTTGCCAATAGAAGTTGTTTTTTTTTCATCTTATTCCTTAACCTTAAATTATACGCTCCATCCATTGAATACTTTACGCAGCATAGTCAGACAAGAATAAATTCACCGATGTTTAATAACATCAGGACGAAAATATTTGTACAAAGCTTATAGTGATACTTAATTGTTTCTTTTATCTCCAGTGCTCATTTTTAGTTGGGTCGGAGTTGTGTTAGTACACGAATTTTTCCTTCGTATGAGGAGAGACAGCAGGTCTTACCTCAGATCACGCAAAATTGTACGAAAGAACACCCTTGGAAAAGACTTTCCACCTGACGCAAGAAACGCCCCAAATAGAAGACATGGCAACAACAACCAAGAGAGGCGTGTGTAGTAAATTACGAACGAAATGCCAGCAACGACTACCGGCCAAGTGTAAGCCATTTTGTCTTTCGTGCAGACGTTCCTTGAGCTAGAAAGATGAAGAAGACGCCTGGTAGCTAGTCAAATAGGTTCATAGAGCCAAATATCACTTTCTACTCCAGCTAAAAGGTTACTTAGTACTACATGTAGTGGGTGAGGTATGTCATGATTACAATCTACTGTCAATCATTCAAATGAAGGAAGCTATTGTTACCAATGATACGCATCAAATACTGAACAAAATCAAGTGTCTGCTTTCTACTGGCCAAGGAAAAGCGTGAGCCATGGCATGTGTGATGCATACGCCACTTCTTGTTTGTTTAAAATGAACACACTCGTGTACTACTACAACAACAACAACAACAGTGTAATCAGACGCTCTGCAACAACGGAATGTCAAGTGAATCGATGGATAGTCCCAATTATTCAGATAGTCCCAAATTGATATTTTGAAATAACACTCCCTTGAATGATTTTATTTTATGAAAAACAGTTTAAAGTTCCACCGACTTATTTTAAGGGAGAAATTTTTAAAAGTTTGAAAATTCAATTTTTACCTAATTAAATATGCATATTTTTGTGTTTCTTACGGCGGCCACTGGAAACGTAAAAACCAGTGGGGTCCGTCAAAATAGAGTCAACTTCAGTTGCTAAAAGCGGTATCTGGGGTATCTTGTACGTTTCATTTCATTACAATAATTATATTTCCTTTAACTTCCAATGTTATAATTTCCATCCTGAGAGTTTCAGCTCTGGGAATTAAATTATCCTCCACCAGTGAATAAATACTTTCGACATGTATGCGCCACTCGAAGCAGTGGATTTTCTATTTTTGGAGTTCAACAAAAACTGAAACGTTGAAATGAAATCACGATTAACCCGAATTTTTTTCTTTTTTTGTGTTTTTTTTTTACTATGGTGCTTTCAACTGACCTCACGAGGGATCGTAAGGATCCGTAAGGGCCTATACTGACCCTATATCAGTAAACAACAAGTGAACAAAGCACCTTATTGAGTACAAAATTTGGTGCCATTAGATCTCAGCCTGACTTAACACCTTTTCCGATTGATGCATTGCTGAATATGATTTTTAAACAACAACGAAACTTGAGGTTTGAGGGTGCATCCGAGTCAGGCGAAAAAGATTAGGAGATATCGATCATTAAAACGAAAAGCAACGCCACGAAGCATTCGCTGAAATATTAAGCGTCACGCGATTGATCAAAATGCAGTGTCAAAGTTTTTTTTCTGGGATCCCCGGGGCAAGTATATGGCGAAAAGTTGTTTCGACGTCCAAAAAAAAACGGTTTTGGAGACAGATCCGCGCTTTTTAGCCGCTGTTTCATCAAAAATGGATTGAAATAATGTTGATACGAGGGAAGTGTAAAGCTTTTATTCATACTTGGTACCATTTTTAATAAACGATTTCCGGCGTCTGAATATATACCTCCCCAAAGGAAAGAAGTCGTTGTCAGCGAAAATGGAAATTGTTTTAACAGAGCTGTTGCCCTTCAGAGGGATGAAATAGGCAATGAGAAACATGAGGAAATCCCCACGTCAAGGGATTGTTTGTTTGAGAAAAATCGAAAGGTTTTCGAACAGCACTCTTCTCCTAGAACTCCCTCAAGGATCCGGCTTATCAGGAACAGTAAGATCACGGGAACTCGGACAGAAACGGTGGACATATATATTCAGTTGTGCATCGCTCCTAAAGAGACCCATTTTTACCTACTCGTCGTCGCAGAAGAAATGGTTCAGATTTGAACCAATTATCAATGCTGATCCATTCTCATTGATCACAGCAAATAAGCAACGTTGGTGTTTAACCACTTTAATGCATCACGATAATATTATGCTCAGGCAAAGCATTTCATTCTGTTGCTACCTCGAGGTAGCTGTTGTAGCAATTTTTTGAATTGGTAACCGGTCAAGTCGCCCGAGAGTCATCTTGCCCGAAGTCGCCCAAAACCTGAGTCATGTTGCCCGAAATTTTATTAATGTCGCCCGAAAAAAAAAGTCAAGTCGCCCGAAGAAACAGATACTAAAAACATCAGAATTTCAGACTGTATATAGGCAATGACGTTGAGAAATTTTTTATCACTAAAGCGCTCTTTGTTTCCGACAACACCATGAAGATTCTTAAAGCGTTGTTTGTTCCGAACAACAAAGGGAAACGTTGTTCGTTTCCAACAACAAAATGAAGCGTTGTTCGTTTAGTATGTACTCGTTCCTTTCTCATGGACGTTTCGTAAACTTGAGAAACTTTTTCTTTGTTTCTAACAATACCATGAAGACTTTGACTACATAGAAATCGATCGTATGCTTGGAATTGAAATATGTTTGAGTAACGATTCTAAAAGGGTTGTTCGTTTCTAACAACAAAGGGAAGCGTTCTCCGTTTCTGACAAAAAAATGAAACGTTGTTCGTTTGGTATGTACTCGTTTCTTACTCACGGACATTTCGTAAGCTTGAGAAACTCTTTCTTGTTTCTAGAAATGCCATGAAGACTTTGACTACACAGAAATCGATTGTATGGTCAGAATTGAAATACGTTTGAGTAACGACTCTAAAAGCGTTGTTTGTTTCTAACAACAGAGGGAAGCGTTGTTCGTTTCTATAACAACAAATGCACGGATGCAACGTAACATACAAGTAAAGTTCTGTTGTGTCTATTTGTGACTTTCTAAATAATAACAGATGAAAACACCTGGTGAACGAATGTAGATTGTCGCGTTCGACAAGTCGGTAAAAGGTAAAGCGAGTAACATACAAATAAAGTTATGTTGTGTTTTTTGTGAACATCGTAAACATCGTAACATTAAAAATTAACTTGTTGTCTTGCGTAAGGTAAGTGTGATATTTTTAAGAGATCAGTCTTGTTTATGCTTGTGACTTTTTTCACAGTAGTAGTCTGATCTGCTGATAGCATCATTTCCCTTAGGATCAGAATAGGCATAAATTATGTAGTTGTGTTCTGGCGGTCGCATGTATATTTTGATCCGATCAAAGTTTACATGAAGAGGGTAAAGTTAGCTACAGTACGAATACGAACTAATCAAAATGAGCATTCACCCTTACATTGGGTGTGATGTCGAAGTTAGACCACGCCAACAAGCCCTACAATGTGATTACGGTCGATCATATGGCCTTTCTGACCATATGATCGATTTCTGTGTAGTCAAAGTCTTCGTGGCTTTGTTAGAAACCAAGAAAAAGTTTCTCAAGCTTACGAAATGTCCGTGAGTAAGAAACGAGTACATATCAAACGAACAATGATAACAATTTCTCAACGCGATTGCCTATTAACTGTCTAAAATTCAGATCTTTTTAGTACTAAAAACATAACTAAAAAAGCGACATAACTAAAAATTTCGGGCAACATGACTCAGGTTTCGGGCGAGATGACTCTTAGGCGACTTGACAGTAAATCTTTGAATTACTAAGCCAGGATAAAAAGCGAGAAGTGTACTTAATACACTTCAATAAGACTAAAAAGGCTTTATAATTTTCTTATTTCATTGCACTTCCATTTTTGTGAGACCTTTCTCTCATGCAACAAAGCTTTCTACGTTTTACGATTTTCCGTCATTCCACCGTGCCATCTTTCCTGAAATATTAAACTGAAATAATCCCATTTTGCAGCTTCCTCGCTTCGCAAATTTAGAGGCTTTCTTGTGCATAATTTGCCGATAAAAACAGTAAAATTCCGACATTAGTGTCCAAACTCCAAAAAGACCCTAACCCAAAATAAAAAATCGGCCACCAGTGTCTAAAATAGAAAAACAGGCACTATTGTCCAAAATCCAAAATCGGCAACTAGTGCCCAAAATTCATAATCGGCCTCTAGTGTCAAAAATCCAAAATCGGCCACTCATATCCAAAATCCAAAATCGGCAACTAGTGCCCAAAATTCATAATCGGCCTCTAGTGTCAAAAATCCAAAATCGGCCACTCATATCCAAAATCCGAAATCGGCAACTACCGTCAAAAATAAAAAATCGGCCATTTGTGTCTAAAATTAGAAAGCAACCACTATTGTCCAAAATCTAAAATAGGCAACTAGTGCCTAAAATCCATAACCGGCCATTTACGTCCAAAATCCAAAATCTGCCAATTGTGTCCGAAATCAAGAATCAGTCACTAGTGTCCAAAATAACCAAAGAATGCAACTAGTGTTCAAAATCCAAAATCGACCACTAGGGGACCAAAATCCAAAATCGGCCATCAGTGTCCAAAATACAAAATCGGCCACGACTGTCCAAAATAAAAAACGGCCACCATTGTTCAAAGTCCAAATCGGCCACTAGTGTCCAAAATCCAAAATCGCCACTAGGGTCCAAAATCGAAAATCAAACAGAATAGCTAAAATAGATAGAATAGACAAAATAAAGAGGCTAAGACTTCATGTTGCTGTTGATAAAACGCGTATATGTGGAGAATCTATTTATTGTTGGAGAATTTAATTTTTCAGAGCTGAAACTTTAAGGGTGGGAAGTACAGCAGTGAAAGCCAACGGAAATATCATTTTTGTAATCAAATGAAAAGTTCCTGATACCGTTTTTAGCAACTGAGGATTCCTCCATTTTGATTCACTGCACTAGTGACAAGTTGGAAAGAAAATAACGCAAACGATTAAAACATCCCTTTTAAGTAGAAGTATGGTATAGTTCTTTGGCAAAGTATTGTCTTTGCTGGGTAGTTTTACGTTTCCGGTGGCCGCCGAAAGGAATATGCATATATGATTATCGTAGAATAACGGATAACATTGGAAGAACTCGTGCTAAAACTAGTCCCGAGTATAGACTGTACCAGTGTACTGTTTTCCACTTCTTAAGGGGCGTGACTTTCCTTTTGCTAGATAGCGTTCTTAAATTCTATTTTCAAGTATTTTGGGTTCTGACCCGTTTGTTAAATTAAAAGTTCTGCTTTTCACTATAATTGTAACAGAGTTCCTAAACGAAAAAATATCTATACTTTCTATATTCTGATCTCGCCACGAATTATTTGCTCATACTTGATCTCATCTAGGGCCAGGTACGTTTTCTCTTTGCTATCAAAGTAAAACAGTTGATCCTCTATAACTCCGATATTAAAGCCCTCGTTTCTCAACTTGGACTTTTGAAGTTTGAAAGTTCCCGTTAAGTCGACGCTGTGAACGATTCTGAGGAACATGGGACAGGC